CCGCGCGCGGCTGCCGCTTGGTGCAGACCCGACCTCGGGCGGAGGGGAGTTCGGAGCGCTCGTCGCCGCCCTGCAAACTCTGGCCGAGTTGGGGAGCTCGCGGGAGAACTTGGGGAACGTCGCTGGGAGCTTTCAGTCGAGTCTAGGGGCGGGCGGGAAAGAGCCCCGTAGACTCTGGGGTCACCGCGGAGCCCCCTTCTTCCTTCGGCATCACCTCTTTATGTCTACAGCAAGTATGGACTGAGCGCCTGTTTTAGGCGCTGAGGCTGCTGGTGAGCCGTGGTCCCTGCCTGCCTGGAGCTTACAGTCTAGTGTTGGAGACAGTCGTGACCCACGGTAGAAGCCGTGATATCTACACAGGCAACTGCGTCCTTTTTTAGCGGACAGTGTTGCCGCGGTCGCTGCTGTGTGACTGCCAGTGGGGACACAAAGGTTTCTTTTTGTCCTCTACCTCTTGTTGCCCACGAGCAGGGCAGCATTCTACGTTTTAGTGAGCTAGACTTCTAAAAGTTGCTTGCTGAATTTAGCAGTTGGCCTTACATATTTTTGTTTTGTTTTATGCACCGGAGCAAGGCTGAAAATAGGAAAAGGAGAAAAAAAAAGTCCACTTCTGGTACCACCCAGGGCACATGGATTCTATCCATCGGTTTCTGTTTACTGTCAGGTTCTTTGTAGCGTGGCATTTGACATTTGCCCCAACTGTTGCTTTATTTCGTGAACAAACGAGCTTGGCAGTGCCTGGAGATGCGGCGCTTTCACACAGCGCGCTGGGCTCGGTCTGCAGCCCGGGGGGGGGGGCAACTCCCAAGCACACTCACGCAGACATGTTTCTGGAGCGGTACCCTCTTTTTATTTTTGGACTTAAGTAAAGTCCTTAGGGTGTTTTTCTTTGTCTATAAAGAATTTTTCTTAACACAATTCTTAATATATTGTCATGGGTGGTAAATTTGGAGGATACTGATCAATTATTTTTTATCCTCAGATGGAATTCTCGTTCTCAGACGAGAAAAGAAAAATGGATTCTAAATTAAGTGCCTCATTCTAGAGTGTGAGAGATGGGTACTAGATGTGAGACAGATATTCTCATGGTATAGTTCATTAGGTTGAGGAATATGCTGTAGAACATAAGTTGTGAAATCATTAAGTTGGGGACTGAGTTAATGTATTTTAAGGACAATTTTTTTTGTCATCCAATGATTTTATTCAAGAAATAACTGCATTTATTAGAAGAGCATGTTAAATTTTTTTTTCCAGCAAGTGAAGATTATGATTCATGTGCAGGAAGAAAGTCACAGCCAATGTTAAACGGATCTTTGTTTTTAAGTAAAAGAACTAATTCACGAAATAATTGAGATAAAATGACTATGGCATTGCTCTTAATACTTTTATCAAATCGTGAGTGGGGCAGTTCAAGAGGAACATCTCTTGTATCTTGATCTTACAGCTAAAGATGAACCCTGGAAAACTTAAATGATTGCTCAGGTTAGCAAAGCTGGCACTAAAACTAACTGGCTTTATAATTGCTACCATCAATACTCTTTCCTCAGTGCCACTTTACTTAGATGAGTTATCTACCTCCAAAGCCAAGATTGCTTTGAATTGTTGTAAGGTGATAGAATAATAAATCAATGTGTTTTTGTTTTTAAACTTCTGAGACAGCTTAATTATGAGGTAAACTCAAAAGTCTGCAATAAATAATTATACATGCATAGGAATGATTTTATTTTGCTGTTATGTCACATTTGGAGAATCACAAAACCTATACTGTTATAAAACTTGGAAACTAGCCAGCTACCTCATTTAACCTCCTGGCTGAAGTGTTCATATATTTAGTTTATTCTGGATAAAGACAGAATTTTTCTTTACTAGTACAATGCATTAGAATGATACAAAGCCAACTCAGATTCTTAACTTTTAGTCTTAATTGGCTAAAGCTTCTACAATAGATAGTGGAGGCAATTAAATGTTTTAATATTAAAAAAACAAATTTTCCCTTTTGGGCTTCAGTTAATAATTCAGAAGGAGAATAGTTGGAATAGAGATTTTTCAAAATTATTGATTAAACATTATATCATTCCAAAGGTATAAAATAAGATTTTCCATGGTGAGCAATAGAGTATAAAAAAAAGACCCACGTGGACTCAGTTTCTGTATGGATAAAACATTTGAAATCTGAAGGAAAAAAACAAATATTGAAGGTATTGTTCATATGAATTGTGAATGGCATATTTTTATAAGAGATTTAAAGTTTATTACATAATGAATTTATGTGAGAGCTAATTCACTAGTTTCCCTTTAAATCATATTTGTTATTAAAATGAATTTTAAAAATATTTTGTAGCTGCAAGTAACATTTACAAAAAGTAATTGTAAGGGAATTTTGTTTTTTATGTTTTCTTAGTGATTTTATTCTGTATAATGGTTATTTTGGGGTAACAGTATTTTGTTAGGGGATCCTCACCTTAGAATTCTACAAGTATTTAACTCTGATGCACCTTCCCTGAGTTTTCTGGTTCTTTTGTTATTTGTTATTTGATGAACTAGATTTACAATAAACTTTTTCTAATTTTATTTCAGATGTTGGATGAAAATAACCATCTTATTCAGTGTATAATGGACTATCAGAATAAAGGAAAGACCTCAGAGTGTTCTCAGTAAGATTGATAAGAAACTTTAAAAAAATTTTTTTTCTGTATTGGTTAGTTTTTTACTTTTCTTTTTAATATCAGCTTTATTGACATGTAATTCATGTACCATTCGACTCACCTATTTTAAAGTGTACAGTTCAGTGTTTTTTAGTATATTCATAGAGTTGTGCTACTATCACCTCAATTTTAGAACATTTTTATCATCCCAAAAAGAAACTTATACTCATTAGCAGTCACTTCCTACCTCCCTACAACCTCTCACTCCCTGATGACCACTAATCTACTTTCTGTCTGTGTAGATATGTCTATTGTGATTTCACATAAGTGAATTCATGCAAGGTGTGATCTGTTCTTACTTTTTTTCACTTAGCATGTTTCCAGGGTTCATCCATGTTGAAGCATGTATCAGTACTTCATTCCTTTTTAATGCCAGATAATCTTACGTTGTACAACTATATCACATTTTATCTATGTCTGTGATGGACATTTGGGTTGTTTGTACTTTTGACTATTAATGGATAATATTGCCATGAACATGTGTGCATGTTTTTGTGTGACTTTTCTTGATTTTTAAAAGGAAAATTTCTCCGGAAGCGTGGTGGGTATCAGTTTTTTCTCATATTTCTTACCATGCATTATAAAATAGAGACTTCAAATTTGTGTATAGTCTGATCTGTGGAAAAGTTAGATCTTCATATATGTAGGATATTTAGTTGTATACATATATGTGATTGAGAAAGCAAAGATTATATCTAATAGAGAATTATCATTCATAAGGACTATACTTTCTTATTTTGAAGTGAAATGTCTAAAGTAAATGGTATACCCTAATGTAATTTGATATGGTAGAATAAGTTGAATATTTTATCAAAAATCTTTAGAACAGCACTGTCTAATAGAAATATATGCAAGCCACACGTGTAATTTTAAATTTTTTAGTAGACACAGTAAACAAGTATAAAGAGATAGGTGAAATTAATATTAATGATATATTTTATTTAACATGTTGTTTCACAATAGTATCAATATATTATCAATATAAAACTATTGAGATGTTTTTTTTTTAATTTTAATAATTAATCAGTATTTTTTTATTATGGTTTTGTGGGGTACAGTTAAGGATTAGGTGTACAATTACGTTTCATTCAGACACCCTGTTGATAAGAGGTGTTTTTCCAGCCCCAGACAGATATTTGCTACTGTTAATCCCATCCCCCTCCCCCCCCATCGTTTCCCAGTACCGTCAGTCATTTTCTTATAGTATTACATTGGATGTTCAAGGTCCATTATATGACTGAGAACATGTGATA